GTTTGCAGAATGCTTCTACCGCGGCCACACGGAGGACAAGCAGCCGCTGCACAGGGGCTGATTGTGGACTATGGAGCGCGGTCTCCCCGTCACCAATAATGTCCGTGTCTGCTTCACTGGACACCTGTGTGTCTTCCTCCTCTGAATCTGAGTGAGCCAGTACCAGACCAAGTACTTCTCTGGTACTGAAGACCTCGTGAGTAAAATAAAAAACACTCTCTCCCTCTGCTCTGCTCTCGCTCCTCTCAGCTCTACCGCTGCTGCTTCGCCTCCGCGCTGCTGCGCCGCAGGTGTTTTACGAACTCAATTTACTCAAAAACTTTCAATATAACCACACCCACAAATGCTGCTCATATTACAGACACACATGTCCACTAACCCCTGGTGAAAAGTATTAACAAGATTCTGCACCACATTTTTACACACAGCCTGTTTAAGTGAGCAATGTTGCTTGTCGCAATATTGCGACTTTGGCGCTTAAAGGGTTAACTGACCTAACGGCAGCATGTAGAGATTGAACAGAAGAGGTCCCAGGATCGACCCCTGTGGGACTCCACAGGTCAGGGCCATATGATCTGAGACACAGTTTCCAATCTCCACAAAGTACTTCCTGTCTTCAAGGTAAGACCTAAACCAACTTAGGGCGGTGCCAGCGACTCCAACCCAGTCCTCTAGTCTCTGTAAGAGGATCTCATGGTCGACGGTGTCAAAGGCAGCACTTAGATCTAACAAGATTAAGATTGAGACTTTGCCTGCGTCAGTGTTCAGCCGGATATCGTTTGTAACCTTAACGAGAGCAGTCTCAGTGCTGTGGTGGGGTCTAAAGCCGGACTGAAACATATCAAATGAGTTGTTGATTATAAGAAATCTAGTAAGCTGTAGGTAGACAACTTTCTCAAGGACTTTCCCCATAAATGGCAGATTTGAGATGGGACGATAGTTGTTAAGTACCGTAGCATCGAGACTGCTCTTTTTTAGCAGGGGCCTGATGACTGCAGTTTTCAGGGCCTTTGGGAATATTCCAGAATGAAGGGACATGTTTACTATCTGTGTGAGTGAAGGTAAACAAGTTGCAGAACTTATGAGCAGTGTTAAATCAGTGTTTTTTTTTGGGGAAGCACTTTTATGCAGCTTCTAGTACATTTTCAATATAAAACACAGACACTGACAGCTCCGCCCCCGCGGCCGGACTAACCTCGTCAGTCCAGCGGTGGTCTTGTCTATATTACTTCTTGCTTTGATTGAAAGTCCAGTTGAGAAACAAATTCTCAATCAAATCATCCATTTTCCAGCAAAATAAAAAGCGCCAACAGGACTGATTGTTGGTTAGCAAAATATTTACAGTCTGTGTTAGCAACTCGGGTAGAACTTTATGCTCACTATCACCCCTAGCGGTGAGGCACAGACACTGCCTGCCTCACGCCAGGCTTTTTCCTTGTGTATTCTTCTCCGATCAAAAGACTTCAAATAAATATAAATAGTACACACATACGTGCAATACATTACTAAACACAAAGACAACTTTAACAAATGTTTTCATAGCAGGAGGATGAAACAAACAGCAATATATTAACCAGCACGAGCTGAGTGCACTCACACAGACCACTGTGTGGGAGAGAGCGGTCTGGGGGGAGGCAGGAGCGCTGCCTCACCTCGTCTCTTTGAATAGGAAAAATAGGATTTCAGCGATTTTAATTTCAGAAATGATCAAACCTGGTCGGAACCATGCCGAAAATACATTAAAAGCATAGGACAGTGGAAACACAATTATAGTTTGACTAAAATAATTATTTTTTCAAGGATGGCAGGCCTGCCTCCCCTGACTGCACGTCACTGGGCTGCTCTAATCTGAGCTGTCTTGATTTTTCAGCGGGGGCTTCAGGCAAAGTGGGATTAAGTGTCTTGCCCAAGACATCAGTGGGAGTTGTGAAGTAGGTCTCGTGGTGGGCTCGCACCCACGACCTTCAGGCCCAAAGGCCAATGCTCTATCAACTGGGCCACTGAATATTCAAAGTATTGTGAAACTGTACACAACAACAAACAACAATATATACAGTACATATTGCTAATATTACATATATGTCGAATTCCATAAATAATTGAAACCCATTCAAGCGGCTTTCATTAGCTGCTTCATTGATATGGAAAATGTTAATTGTCTGCCCCAAAGGTAAAAGTAATGTTTTTATAAATGATCATGTTTGTTATAATATACTGTATTCTATAATGCAACAGCTGTGATCTGTATTGACCAAAGAGGGCGTCATGCTTATGTCTGCGTCAAGAGCAGCAAAGTCATATAGGCCTCCATTAAAGATACAATAATAATGTAGCCCTCTATTTGATGCAAAGAGATTCAATGTTTGACACACAGAGACACTGCATTTGGCATCCATAACCCGCCTTTCAACACTGGTCAAAAAACACTCCTCACATTCATACTGTTGACACATAAGCCACATTTCCACCGCAGGAGTTCCTGGTAAAAGGAGCGGAGTGGAACTTCTATTAAAACCGTCCTCCCACTCGGCCCTCTAAAACCAACTCCACAGAACACCGGCACCAAATGTCAATACAAGCAGAAAAAATGTACATGCACTCAATGATCATTTCACATCTAACTGTTTAACTGTCTGGTCACATGCTAATGTCACAACTCTCAAACCCATCCTGTCCCTCAACAAAGATGGCGCCTCGTACGGTCGACATGGCTCTTTGCTGCTCTCTTCTCCTCTTGTTTTTACTTTTTAACTGTGCATCTGGCTGTTCCTACACCCGTGAGGAACTTATGAACATCCGACCCACCGTTCCCATGGACCTATTGCCTGTTTTCTTGGCATCTGCGGCTGATTTAGTTCATGTTCTAGCCAAAAAAGTGTGGGCCCGTAAAAGGGGAAAGCGCGGAGGCTGCTCGTGCGTCTTAGGAGGAAAGGAGCGCGGCTCTCCCCGGCATTTTTCTGTCCAACGTACGCTCACTGGGCAATAAGACGAACTCAGCCTGCTCATGAGAAGAAACAAGGACTTCATCCTGTGTCCTCTGCTTCACTGAGACCTGGTGTCCTCTGTGTCCTCTGCTTCACTGAGACCTGGTGTCCTCTGTGTCCTCTGCTTCACTGAGACCTGGTGTCCTCTGTGTCCTCTGCTTCACTGAGACCTGGTGTCCTCTGTGTCCTCTGCTTCACTGAGACCTGGTGTCCTCTGTGTCCTCTGCTTCACTGAGACCTGGTGTCCTCTGTGTCCTCTGCTTCACTGAGACCTGGCTAAATGAGCGGATCCCGGACTGCGCTCTGGAGCTGCAGGGCTTTGGGCTGTTTCGCGCGGATCGCCATTGTGCGCTCTCAGGGAAGAGCAGAGGCGGAGGGCTGTGTTTCTACGTCAATACAAACTGGTGTAACGATGTGACAGTGATCTCCAAGCACTGCTCTCCTGCTCTGGAATATCTTTTCATTCATTGTAAACCATTTTACTCCCCGCGCGAAATTGTTTCATTCATTCTTGCCTCTGTTTACATACCGCCATGCGCGGACGCAGAGCAAGTACTGTGTATGGAACGTTTATACCCGGACTCTCTGATTATTATCCTGGGGGATTTTAATAAGGGAAACTTGAGCCAGGAATTACCCAAATACAGACAGTTTTTCAAATGCCCGACCAGAGAGGAGAACACTCTGGATCACTGTTACACCACCGTGCGCGGAGCTTTTCGCGCTGTTCCCAAGGCAGCCCTCGGCTTCTCAGATCACTCCATGATACATCTGGTTCCTGCTTACAGACAGAGACTAAAGCTCTCGAAACCTGCAGTGAGGAGCTCCAAAGTGTGGTCTGATGAAGCTGTGGAAGAGCTGCATGCATGGAATCTACAGACTGGGACCTTTTCAGAGCTGCCACAGATAGTTTGGATGAATATACGGACACTGTGACGTCATACATTCACTTCTGTGAGGATAGCATCATTCCAACAAGGACCAGGGTCATCTATAACAACGACAAACCCTGGTTCACTGCTAAACTCCGGCAGCTCAGGAAAGCAAAGGAGTCTGCTTTCAGGGAGGGGGACCGCAGCGGCTACAAAGCAGCTAAATATCAGTTCAGGAAAGAACTGAAAGCAGCCAAGTCCCGGCACAGAGAACGACTACAGGAGCAGTTTGGTAACAACGATACTGCTTCTGTCTGGAGGGGCCTACGGGAGATCACCAACTACAAACCCAAAGCCCCCCCCTGTGCTGACGACCACAAGCTAGCTGACGATCTGAACTTATTTTTCAGTCGCTTTGATGCTGCCCCTGACACCTCTCCCTCCCCCACCCCCCACTACTCTAACGACCCACCCATCAGCCCTGCCCCCAGCCTAACAATAGCCGCTAAAGAGATTAAACAACTCTTCCTGAGGCTGCACCCCCGCAAAGCTCCTGGCCCGGACCACGTGTCTCCGGCCACTCTGAGACACTGCGCCAGTGAGCTTACTCCTGTGTTCACGGACATTTTCAACACCTCTCTGCAGTCCTGCCATGTCCCGGCCTGCTTCAAATCCTCCATCATTGTCCCCGTCCCGAAGAAGCCCAGGATCACAGGACTCAATGACTACAGACCTGTAGCACTTACGTCTGTCGTCATGAAGTCATTTGAACGCCTGGTTCTCTCCCATCTCAAGTCCCTCACCTCCCCCCTCCTGGACCCCCTGCAGTTCACCTACAGAGCCAACAGATCTGTAGACGACGCCATTAACCTGGCCCTCCACCACATCCTACAGCACCTGGACTCCCCGGGGACCTACGCCAGGGTCCTGTTCGTGGACTTCAGCTCTGCCTTCAACACAATCCTGCCATCCCTGCTCCAGGACAAGCTCTCCCAGCTCAACGTGCCCGATTCCACCTGCAGGTGGATCACTGACTTCCTGACGGACAGGAAGCAGCGAGTGCGTCTGGGGAAGAATGTCTCGGACTCTCGGATTATAAATACAGGAGCCCCACAGGGCTGTGTTCTTTCCCCCACCCTCCGTGATGGACTCCCCCATCACCTCTGTGGAGTCCTTCCGTTTCCTGGGCACCACCATCACCCAGGACCTCAAGTGGGAGCCGACCATCAGCTCCCTCATCAAGAAGGCCCAGCAGAGGATGTACTTCCTGCGGCAGCTCAGGAAAGCCAAGCTGCCTGCACAGATGTTGGTGCAGTTCTACACGGCCATCATCGAGTCCATCCTCACCTCGTCCATCACCTCCTCCATCACCTCCTCCATCACCTCCTCCGTCACCTCCTCCATCACCTCCTCCATCACCTCCTCCATCACCTCCTCCATCACCTCCTCCATCACCGTGTGGTTCGCTGGAGCCACAGTCAGGGACAAACAGAGACTACAGTGCATTGTGCGCTCTGCAGAGGAAGTGATCGGCCGCAGCCTTCCATCGCTGCAGGACCTGTACGTCGCCCGAGCTCGAGGCCGGGCTGGTCGTATCACAGCCGACCCCTCTCACCTGCACATGGACTATTCCAACCACTCCCCTCTCACCTGCACATGGACTATTCCAACCACTCCCCTCTCACCTACACATGGACTATTCCAACCACTCCCCTCTCACCTGCACATGGACTATTCCAACCACTCCCCTCTCACCTGCACATGGACTATTCCAACCACTCCCCTCTCACCTGCACATGGACTATTCCAACCACTCCCCTCTCACCTGCACATGGACTATTCCAACCACTCCCCTCTCACCTACACATGGACTATTCCAACCACTCCCCTCTCACCTGCACATGGACTATTCCAACCACTCCCCTCTCACCTGCACATGGACTATTCCAACCACTCCCCTCAGGCAGGAGGCTGCGGTCCATCAGGACTAGAACCTCCCGCCACAAGAACAGTTTCTTCCCCTCTGCTGTTGGAATCTTGAACACTTCTTAACCTGTCCCCACGCCCTTTATAAAGTCACTTTACTGCCCATCATACGTCACTTTACTTCACTGTACTGCTGTCACCTTACATTGTGTGCACCATGTGCACTTGTATATTGTAAATAGTAACTGTAACTCTATTTTAAATTTACATTTATTCTTTAGAAGTGTTTTTTATTCTTATTTTTATTATCTCTTTTTGACTGTTGCACTGAGCCAAAGCAATTTCCTAGTCTGTGACCTCCTGTTACTTACGTGGCAATAAAAATTATTCTGATTCTGATTCTGATAAAAACTCTGGACCGCAAACCACTCTCACATCATCACTGTCCAATATTACAAAAGCATAATTTACTCAGTTGGGAAAACATGGTCAAATACTCACATCTCTAACTCACCTATAAAATAATACATGGTTTGTCATCAGCCCCACTCACACAGTTCATTCACATCAATACAGCAGAACTCAGCAGAACTCAGCAGAACCAGAGCAGCAGCAAGGGGCGACTGCATCATCCCTCTGAGAAAAAGCCTCTTTGGTCAATCAACATATTCTGTCAAAGCCGCCCATGAATGGAATCTCACCCCCACAACAATTAGGAACACCAATACATATAACTCTTTCAAAATACAGGTAAAGAAATGGATCATAGAAAATCAAAGCTGTCAGCACTGACCCCTCACCTCTGCCCTCTGCTGCCCCCTGCTGTCCTCTTGTTCTCTGTCTGTGAGTCTGACTTGTCTTTATTGTTGTTGAGTGTGTTGTGTGTTCATGTCTGTATGTTTGATTTGTGTTATTGAGGGTATTGTTTGTATATATTTTACTGTGTTATGTTTTATCTGATTGTGTTATGTGTATTTTTATTCCCTTCAGGAGGACACTTAACTGTCCAGGGACTACAGATGGAAAATAGCCCTTAGGCTAATTCTGGCATATTTACATGTACAATGTATTTTAATATGCACTTTCCCTTTAATAAATAAATAAATAAAATAAAAAATCATCCGTCCATTTATTGTAAATTTTGCTGTTGTTTCCAGCGGCGTCTGGTAGGCTAATGCTGCTAGGCTACTGCTGCTAGGCTAATGCTGCTAGGCTACTGCTGCTAGGCTAATGCTGCTAGGCTAATGCTGCTAGGCTACTGCTGCTAGGCTAATGCTGCTAGGCTAATGCTGCTAGGCTAATGCTGCTAGGCTAATGCTGCTAGGCTACTGCTGCTAGGCTAATGCTGCTAGGCTAATGCTGCTAGGCTAATGCTGCTGGGCTAATGCTGCTAGGCTAATGCTGCTAGGCTACTGCTGCTAGGCTAATGCTGCTAGGCTAATGCTGCTGGGCTAATGCTGCTGGGCTAATGCTGCTGGGCTAATGTTGCTGGGCTAATGCTGCTGGGCTAATGCTGCTGGGCTAATGCTGCTGGGCTAATGCTGCTGGGCTAATGCTGCTGGGCTAATGCTGCTGGGCTAATGCTGCTGGGCTAATGCTGCTGGGCTAATGCTGCTGGGCTAATGCTGCTAGGCTAATGCTGCTAGGCTAATGCTGCTGGGCTAATGCTGCTAGGCTAATGCTGCTGGGCTAATGTTGCTGGGCTAATGCTGCTGGGCTAATGCTGCTGGGCTAATGCTGCTAGGCTAATGCTGCTAGGCTAATGCTGCTGGGCTAATGCTGCTGGGCTAATGCTGCTGGGCTAATGCTGCTGGGCTAATGCTGCTGGGCTAATGCTGCTAGGCTAATGCTGCTAGGCTAATGCTGCTGGGCTAATGTTGCTGGGCTAATGCTGCTGGGCTAATGCTGCTGGGCTAATGCTGCTGGGCTAATGCTGCTGGGCTAATGCTGCTGGGCTAATGCTGCTGGGCTAATGCTGCTGGGCTAATGCTGCTGGGCTAATGCTGCTAGGCTAATGCTGCTAGGCTAATGCTGCTGGGCTAATGCTGCTGGGCTAATGCTGCTGGGCTAATGCTGCTGGGCTAATGCTGCTGGGCTAATGCTGCTAGGCTAATGCTGCTGGGCTAATGCTGCTGGGCTAATGCTGCTAGGCTAATGCTGCTGGGCTAATGCTGCTGGGCTAATGCTGCTGGGCTAATGCTGCTGGGCTAATGCTGCTGGGCTAATGCTGCTGGATTTTTAAAATGGCTGTTGTTTTGGTGCTTTCTTTTGGCGTCAGAGCCTGCACTAGCTGTAGCCAATCAGCACTGGGCTAACCTTAAGCCCCACCAGGAGCTGTTCAGGGCCCAACGGAGTAACCGGCATGGAGGAGGTCCTCTGTTGGGCCCTGTAAAAGGTCCTGCAAATGGCCCTGTGGGGGAGGTTCCCGCAGTGGAGACACGCACCGAAGGGCTGGCCCTGAGAAATAACCCTGAAGTTCCTGCAGTGGAAACGCGGCTATAGCTACAGTGTGAAAATGGCTCTTGAGTATGAGTACAGTGAAGAGGAGTTCCCAGGTTAGTGTGCAGTGTGGTGCAGTGAGGAGGAGGTCCCGGGTCAGTGTGCAGTGTGGTGCAGTGAGGAGGAGGTCCCAGGTCAGTGTGCAGTGTGGTGCAGTGAGGAGGAGGTCCCGGGTCAGTGTGCAGTGTGGTGCAGTGAGGAGGAGGTCCCGGGTCAGTGTGCAGTGTGGTGCAGTGAGGAGGAGGTCCCGGGTCAGTGTGCAGTGTGGTGCAGTGAGGAGGAGGTCCCGGGTCAGTGTGCAGTGTGGTGCAGTGAGGAGGAGGTCCCGGGTCAGTGTGCAGTGTGGTGCAGTGAGGAGGAGGTCCCGGGTCAGTGTGCAGTGTGGTGCAGTGAGGAGGAGGTCCCGGGTCAGTGTGCAGTGTGGTGCAGTGAGGAGGAGGTCCCGGGTCAGTGTGCAGTGTGGTGCAGTGAGGAGGAGGTCCCGGGTCAGTGTGCAGTGTGGTGCAGTGAGGAGGAGGTCCCGGGTCAGTGTGCAGTGTGGTGCAGTGAGGAGGAGGTCCCGGGTCAGTGTGCAGTGTGGTGCAGTGAGGAGGAGGTCCTGGGTCAGTGTGCAGTGTGGTGCAGTGAGGAGGAGGTCCCGGGTCAGTGTGCAGTGTGGTGCAGTGAGGAGGAGGTCCCGGGTTAGTGTGCAGTGTGGTGCAGTGAGGAGGAGGTCCCGGGTCAGTGTGCAGTGTGGCGCAGTGAGGAGGAGGTCCCGGGTCAGTGTGCAGTGTGGTGCAGTGAGGAGGAGGTCCTGGGTCAGTGTGCAGTGTGGTGCAGTGAGGAGGAGGTCCCAGGTCAGTGTGCAGTGTGGTGCAGTGAGGAGGAGGTCCCAGGTCAGTGTGCAGTGTGGCGCGAGTGAGGAGGAGGTCCCGGGTCAGTGTGCAGTGTGGTGCAGTGAGGAGGAGGTCCCGGTCAGTGTGCAGTGTGGTGCAGTGAGGAGGAGGTCCCGGGTCAGTGTGCAGTGTGGTGCAGTGAGGAGGAGGTCCCGGGTCAGTGTGCAGTGTGGCGCAGTGAGGAGGGAGGTCCCGGGTCAGTGTGCAGTGTGGTGCAGTGAGGAGGAGGTCCAGTGAGGAGGAGGTCCCGGATCAGTGTGCAGTGTGGTGCAGTGAGGAGGAGGTCCTGGGTCAGTGTGCAGTGTGGTGCAGTGAGGAGGAGGTCCCGGGTCAGTGTGCAGTGTGGTGCAGTGAGGAGGAGGTCCCAGGTCAGTGTGCAGTGTGGTGCAGTGAGGAGGAGGTCCCGGGTCAGTGTGCAGTGTGGTGCAGTGAGGAGGAGGTCCCGGGTCAGTGTGCAGTGTGGTGCAGTGAGGAGGAGGTCCCGGTCAGTGTGCAGTGTGGTGCAGTGAGGAGGAGGTCCCGGGTCAGTGTGCAGTGTGGTGCAGTGAGGAGGAGGTCCCGGGTCAGTGTGCAGTGTGGTGCAGTGAGGGAGTCCCGGAGGTCCCGGGTCAGTGTGCAGTGTGGTGCAGTGAGGAGGAGGTCCCGGGTCAGTGTGCAGTGTGGTGCAGTGAGGAGGAGGTCCCGGGTCAGTGTGCAGTGTGGTGCAGTGAGGAGGAGGTCCCGGGTCAGTGTGCAGTGTGGTGCAGTGAGGAGGAGGTCCCGGGTCAGTGTGCAGTGTGGTGCAGTGAGGAGGAGGTCCCAGTGGTCAGTGTGCAGTGTGGTGCAGTGAGGAGGAGGTCCCGGGTCAGTGTGCAGTGTGGTGCAGTGAGGAGGAGGTCCCGGGTCAGTGTGCAGTGTGGTGCAGTGAGGAGGAGGTCCGGGTCAGTGTGCAGTGTGGTGCAGTGAGGAGGAGGTCCCGGGTCAGTGTGCAGTGTGGTGCAGTGAGGAGGAGGTCCCGGGTCAGTGTGCAGTGTGGTGCAGTGAGGAGGAGGTCCCGGGTCAGTGTGCAGTGTGGTGCAGTGAGGAGGAGGTCCCGGGTCAGTGTGCAGTGTGGTGCAGTGAGGAGGAGGTCCCGGGTCAGTGTGCAGTGTGGTGCAGTGAGGAGGAGGTCCCGGGTCAGTGTGCAGTGTGGTGCAGTGAGGAGGAGGTCCCGGGTCAGTGTGCAGTGTGGTGCAGTGAGGAGGAGGTCCCGGGTCAGTGTGCAGTGTGGTGCAGTGAGGAGGAGGTCCCGGGTCAGTGTGCAGTGTGGTGCAGTGAGGAGGAGGTCCCGGGTCAGTGTGCAGTGTGGTGCAGTGAGGAGGAGGTCCCGGGTCAGTGTGCAGTGTGGTGCAGTGAGGAGGAGGTCCCGGGTCAGTGTGCAGTGTGGTGCAGTGAGGAGGAGGTCCCGGGTCAGTGTGCAGTGTGGTGCAGTGAGGAGGAGGTCCCGGGTCAGTGTGCAGTGTGGTGCAGTGAGGAGGAGGTCCCGGGTCAGTGTGCAGTGTGGTGCAGTGAGGAGGAGGTCCCGGGTCAGTGTGCAGTGTGGTGCAGTGAGGAGGAGGTCCCGGGTCAGTGTGCAGTGTGGTGCAGTGAGGAGGAGGTCCCGGGTCAGTGTGCAGTGTGGTGCAGTGAGGAGGAGGTCCCGGGTCAGTGTGCAGTGTGGTGCAGTGAGGAGGAGGTCCCGGGTGTCAGTGTGCAGTGTGGTGCAGTGAGGAGGAGGTCCCGGGTCAGTGTGCAGTGTGGTGCAGTGAGGAGGAGGTCCCGGTCAGTGTGCAGTGTGGTGCAGTGAGGAGAGGTCCCGGGTCAGTGTGCAGTGTGGTGCAGTGAGGAGGAGGTCCCGGGTCAGTGTGCAGTGTGGTGCAGTGAGGAGGAGGTCCCGGGTCAGGTGGTCAGTGTGTGCATGAGGAGGAGGTCCGGTCAGTGTGCAGTGTGGTGGCAGTGAGGAGGAGGTCCCGGGTCAGTGTGCAGTGTGCAGTGCAGTGAGGAGGAGGAGGTCCCGGGTCAGTGTGCAGTGTGGTGCAGTGAGGAGGAGGTCCCGGGTCAGTGTGCAGTGTGGTGCAGTGAGGAGGAGGTCCCGGGTCAGTGTGCAGTGTGGTGCAGTGAGGAGGAGGTCCCGGGTCAGTGTGCAGTGTGGTGCAGTGAGGAGGAGGTCCCGGGTCAGTGTGCAGTGTGGTGCAGTGAGGAGGAGGGTCCCGGGTCAGTGTGCAGTGTGGTGCAGTGAGGAGGAGGTCCCGGGTCAGTGTGCAGTGTGGTGCAGTGAGGAGGAGGTCCCGGGTCAGTGTGCAGTGTGGTGCAGTGAGGAGGAGGTCCCGGGTCAGTGTGCAGTGTGGTGCAGTGAGGAGGAGGTCCCGGTCAGTGTGCAGTGTGGTGCAGTGAGGAGGAGGTCCCGGGTCAGTGTGCAGTGTGGTGCAGTGAGGAGGAGGTCCCGGGTCAGTGTGCAGTGTGGTGCAGTGAGGAGGAGGTCCCGGGTCAGTGTGCAGTGTGGTGCAGTGAGGAGGAGGTCCCGGGTCAGTGTGCAGTGTGGTGCAGTGAGGAGGAGGTCCCGGGTCAGTGTGCAGTGTGGTGCAGTGAGGAGGAGGTCCCGGGTCAGTGTGCAGTGTGGTGCAGTGAGGAGGAGGTCCCGGGTCAGTGTGCAGTGTGGTGCAGTGAGGAGGAGGTCCCGGGTCAGTGTGCAGTGTGGTGCAGTGAGGAGGAGGTCCCGGGTCAGTGTGCAGTGTGGTGCAGTGAGGAGGAGGTCCCGGTCAGTGTGCAGTGTGGTGCAGTGAGGAGGAGGTCCCGGGTCAGTGTGCAGTGTGGTGCAGTGAGGAGGAGGTCCCGGGTCAGTGTGCAGTGTGGTGCAGTGAGGAGGAGGTCCCGGGTCAGTGTGCAGTGTGGTGCAGTGAGGAGGAGGTCCCGGGTCAGTGTGCAGTGTGGTGCAGTGAGGAGGAGGTCCCGGTGTCAGTGTGCAGTGTGGTGCAGTGAGGAGGAGGTCCCGGGTCAGTGTGCAGTGTGGTGCAGTGAGGAGGAGGTCCCGGGTCAGTGTGCAGTGTGGTGCAGTGAGGAGGAGGTCCCGGGTCAGTGTGCAGTGTGGTGCAGTGAGGAGGAGGTCCCGGGTCAGTGTGCAGTGTGGTGCAGTGAGGAGGAGGTCCCGGGTCAGTGTGCAGTGTGGTGCAGTGAGGAGGAGGTCCCGGGTCAGTGTGCAGTGTGGTGCAGTGAGGAGGAGGTCCCGGTCAGTGTGCCAGTGTGGTGCAGTGAGGAGGAGGTCCCGGTCAGTGTGCAGTGTGGTGCAGTGAGGAGGGGTCCAGTGAGGAGGAGGTCCCGGTCAGTGTGCAGTGTGGTGCAGTGAGGAGGAGGTCCCGGGTCAGTGTGCAGTGTGGTGCAGTGAGGAGGAGGTCCCGGGTCAGTGTGCAGTGTGGTGCAGTGAGGAGGAGGTCCCGGGTCAGTGTGCAGTGTGGTGCAGTGAGGAGGAGGTCCCGGGTCAGTGTGCAGTGTGGTGCAGTGAGGAGGAGGTCCCGGGTCAGTGTGCAGTGTGGTGCAGTGAGGAGGAGGTCCCGGGTCAGTGTGCAGTGTGGTGCAGTGAGGAGGAGGTCCCGGGTCAGTGTGCAGTGTGGTGCAGTGAGGAGGAGGTCCCGGGTCAGTGTGCAGTGTGGTGCAGTGAGGAGGAGGTCCCGGGTCAGTGTGCAGTGTGGTGCAGTGAGGAGGAGGTCCCGGGTCAGTGTGCAGTGTGGTGCAGTGAGGAGGAGGTCCCGGGTCAGTGTGCAGTGTGGTGCAGTGAGGAGGAGGTCCCGGGTCAGTGTGCAGTGTGGTGCAGTGAGGAGGAGGTCCCGGGTCAGTGTGCAGTGTGGTGCAGTGAGGAGGAGGTCCCGGGTCAGTGTGCAGTGTGGTGCAGTGAGGAGGAGGTCCCGGATCAGTGTGCAGTGTGGTGCAGTGAGGAGGAGGTCCCGGGTCAGTGTGCAGTGTGGTGCAGTGAGGAGGAGGTCCCGGGTCAGTGTGCAGTGTGGTGCAGTGAGGAGGAGGTCCCGGGTCAGTGTGCAGTGTGGTGCAGTGAGGAGGAGGTCCCAGGTCAGTGTGCAGTGTGGTGCAGTGAGGAGGAGGTCCCGGGTCAGTGTGCAGTGTGGTGCAGTGAGGAGGAGGTCCCGGGTCAGTGTGCAGTGTGGTGCAGTGAGGAGGAGGTCCCGGGTCAGTGTGCAGTGTGGTGCAGTGAGGAGGAGGTCCCGGGTCAGTGTGCAGTGTGGTGCAGTGAGGAGGAGGTCCCAGGTCAGTGTGCAGTGTGGTGCAGTGAGGAGGAGGTCCCGGGTCAGTGTGCAGTGTGGTGCAGTGAGGAGGAGGTCCCGGGTCAGTGTGCAGTGTGGTGCAGTGAGGAGGAGGTCCCGGGTCAGTGTGCAGTGTGGTGCAGTGAGGAGGAGGTCCCGGGTCAGTGTGCAGTGTGGTGCAGTGAGGAGGAGGTCCCGGGTCAGTGTGCAGTGTGGTGCAGTGAGGAGGAGGTCCCGGGTCAGTGTGCAGTGTGGTGCAGTGAGGAGGAGGTCCCGGGTCAGTGTGCAGTGTGGTGCAGTGAGGAGGAGGTCCCGGGTCAGTGTGCAGTGTGGTGCAGTGAGGAGGAGGTCCCGGGTCAGTGTGCAGTGTGGTGCAGTGAGGAGGAGGTCCCGGGTCAGTGTGCAGTGTGGTGCAGTGAGGAGGAGGTCCCGGGTCAGTGTGCAGTGTGGTGCAGTGAGGAGGAGGTCCCGGGTCACTCTGCAGGCTGCAGTCTGTCCACAGCTCGTTAGGGGACATTTCAGCACTCAGATCTAATGTCTGCATGTTTTTCCCACACACCGGACACATGGGTCCATGATTGCCTCTATTATGATAAACATGACACAATGTAAAGCTAACTTTTTCTACATAGATAATTCATAATAATACATTATTATTATTATATTATTCCTAAATTTGGACTCAATATGTTGTAAATATGCACTTTTAAAATAAATCAGTCAATTACATCTCTCCTATGTATTTTGTCCAGCTTTGGTTCAATGCAAAGCGTAAGTTCATTGTGATCAGAAAAATCTGAAAATATCCAAATTCATAGTGTCATAATGTACAAAATTATCATGCTAAAATAAAACCGCTGTTATACTTTCATTTCATGACCAGCTATTTTTTTTCATAACCAACATTAATGTTATATCCCTGGCCTAAACTCAATATATGTGGCTGTTTTGTGTGCTCCTACTGTGCCTCCTGTGTGTGTGTGTCTTGGACAGGGTCAGCTGCTCTAAGCCCCTGGATCCTGGCTCTGTCTGCAGCTGTTCTTCTGATGCTCTCTCTGCTACAACAGGCTCGGCGTGTCAGCCACACACTCATGAACAGCATTTAAAAGGTTGGAATGACAATATTGATGTTCAATATATACAAATAATTGTATATATTTTATATATATAAAATACAAACTCTGACATTTACATTAGGAACCAGAAGATTGAAAATGTTGCTGAATACAGGTATCTTGGGGTTACTCTAGACGCTAACTTGAATTTCAAAAAACACGTCAAAAACATGACAAGAACTCTCAAATTCAACCTTGCCAATTTCAGACATATTAGACCCTGTCTCTCCCTTGAGGCAGCTAGAACATTTATGCATGCGCTTATTTTCTCGCATTTATCGTACTGTATCACATGTTGGGGGCAGGCTGGTGAATCAGTAGTGAGACCTCTTGAGTCAGTGTATAAACAGGCACTAAAAATCTTTGACAAAAAGCCTCTGAGGCACCATCACTGTAATATCTTAGTAAAATATAATTTTTTGAGTCTTGAAAACTTCAGACGCTTTTCTAACCTGTGTCTCGTTTTCAAAGTTCTAAATGGCCTGGCTCCTGACTGTTTAAAATCATTTGTGAACTATAGGGCAATACACTCAATTAGATCCACGAGAATAGCCTCGGTGCGCGATTGTATGATCCCCTTCCGTCGCTCTGCGTTTGGTTTCTCCGCCTTCTCTGTGAAGGCCTCTACGCAGTGGAATGCTCTTCCTAACTCTATTAAGTCATGTGCTACACTGAAAGGCTTTAAGATGGAATTGAAAAGACACTTAAAGAGTGAGCAAAGATGTGATCATTATCCATAGGCCCAAAGGTACTGATGCCACCTGAGTGTGTGTGTTTGTGTGCGTGTGTAACTGTGTGTAATTGTGCGCTTGTGTGTTGGAATATGTCTGTGATTGTGCGTTTGTGCGTCTGCTCTGTGTGTATCTGCTGACTGTATACAAATGTGTATTTTATGGTATGTGCTTGTGTTATTTTATACCCACCTGTATGTGGAGTGTTCTTCCCTGCCGGGGGACTACGGATGCAAATTAGCCTAAGGCTAACTCCGGTACAATGCATCAAATGGAGGCATTTATGTTCTAATTGTACACTGTCCCTTTTTAAATAAATAAAATTGAATTGAATTGAATTGAATGTTCAACAAAATCAAATTCAGGTTAAGGATTTCATTTAAAAGCAGCATATACAGTGGCCCCTGCCCACTAAAACCATGACATTGTCACATACTCAAACTTGAACCCTCAGGACTAGAGGGACATTGTGTTTATAGAAATCATACTTTTTATGTAATGTAGCAAGAGTGTGTAAACTGTGTAATTAATGTCTCTTTTGTATAATTATTATTTAAGTACTTTTGTTTTTATCTCTGATATGCACTTCATCTGAACCTCCAGGAAAAGTGCATGAACCTGAGCTACAGTTCAACAATACATACATGACAGGACTGTTTCTGCTTGTACAGTATCTCACCTTCTGTTTGTATATGTTGCAGTTTTTTGTCTGAAATACAGCTATTATTAAGCCACTGTAGTCCTTGAATGGGAAAAATGGATTAGCAAAAAGAAAAGGAAGGTGTTGGTTAACACCAGAACTCCCAGAGCAATCAATTTGGAAGTAGGATTACTTTATTTACACCCTAACCCTAACCCTATCTTTTATTATTGAAATGGACTGAATCTTGGACTGGTCCTAGTTCTGAGCTTTTTGAGTCCAAAAAAGAGCTATATAAAACCAATGCATTATCATTTATTACTAATTGGCTGTCCTCAGTGCTCAATTGTGCATTGGGTGGCAGCTCTCAATCCCACCCCCTTGACCCAGAAATGGACTAATAAAGGGTTTGAAAATGAAGGAATGAATGAATGATTGGCTGTGATTGGCTTTGAGGGTGACCTAAAGATGTGAGAGAGTTCAAACCTACATGTATGTGAAAACTAGAGACTGAACTAACTGTTTTAACCCATGTCAGTACCAAGTGAAGCAGAGTTCACTTTAACTAAACCAGTCAGAGCAAAAACACTTCCTGTGTGGAGATGTGGAAGCACAAACAGGGGTTCCCAACTCGTGACACTGGACAAGCACTGTTCCAATGCAATAGAGGGGGAAAAGCAGCTCTTTGTATGTCCCTCACTTCCATCCCCCACCCCCCCACCCCTTACATCCACCATAACAAAGCACCTGCCCGATATACCTCCTGATGTCAATGCATGGACCAGTCTTCCTATTCCTATTATCTGTGTATTCCAAATATCCTAATCTCATATGTTCTTTACAGCAGTGAACCTTAAAACAGACCACGTTAGGTTTGGTTATAAATCTTGCACACTATAAGCCTTTATACTGTACATTGCAGACAACAGTGAGATTTTCTGCTGTCACACTCGTCTTCTAAAACTACAGCATTACAGAACCCAGGACCAGAGGGAATCACGTATTTGGCTATGGCAAGTTTCTCATCCAAATGGAGCAATATAGACACTCTCCTACATGTTTTTTGACAAAGAGAATTTTATAAAGGAAAAAGCCCAAATCCTTATGGTAAGATCTCCACTCACCCAAACACGGCTCCATGGCTCGTTACGCTGTAATTGTGCAGTATTGTAGTATTGTCCCTGGTGTGTTGTTTTATGACCTTTACCTGACCCACGGTTAGTAATGCCTAAATTACAGCTATTTGGCTGTAGTTTTCCCATTGACTTGGTTGCATGGCAAATTAGAATCTCTCCACTTGTAATGTTTAAGATAAGATAAGATAAGATAGACTTTATTGATCTCACACAGAAGAAATTTTATTCATATACTTTCTAAAGCATGAAAGGCCAAAGTAAATGTCCTCAAGATTACATTTAAGGGACAACAAGAACACGCATCATATTTCTCTTCATATGATATCTTGATCTCAAACAGGAGGACTCCATTGCATGAGTGCAGACAGCTCCAGAGAAAGTGTTTCTTGGCTGCTCACGAAGACACAGCCTTTGTGCCGAGATAGCTGTTCCTATGACAACCTCTGCTGGGCCATTGTTGTGCAGCCAATCAGCAGCCAGCGCAGGAGGAAGTGCTGGGGTCTGGGCTCAGCCTGTCCCCTGCACTCCCTCACATTCGTACCGGAGCTGACATCACAAAACACAACCATAGGTTACCATGGTGATGCTCTTCCTAGGACATAGGCATTCGTTTTTGTTTCAATGTAACGCTCTTTACAAACAGGCCATGTCAGCACTGGCTGTTTGGACACAATCACGTCCTTCAAGGATCCTTGTGTAAAGTCAGCAGACTGCTGCAGAGCAGGAAAATGTCTGCACAAAGAGGTGTAACATAAGGAACTATGAAGCACAAATGAGGAGCTGCCGTTATTGCGGGCTGTTTATTAATAGACAGCAGTCTATTACCCTCCAACAAATAAATTAATTACTAGCTTCTGCTTCTGCCCAGGGCCGGTCCAGCAAAATTGCTCTCTTAAAGAAAATAAATAAATAAATAGTTTCTTTTTGTTCCCAGGCCAGCTGAGAGACATAGTCCCTCTGTGTCCTGGGTCTTCCCAGGGGCCTCCTCCTGGTGGGACCTGCCCAGAACACCTCCCCAGGGAGGCGTCCAGGAGGCATCCTGAACAGATGCCCGAGCCACCTCAACTGGTTCCTCTCGATGTGGAGAAGCAGCGGCTCTACTCCGAGCTCCTCCCGTGTGACTGAGCTCCTGAGGGAGCGTGTGAGGGAGCGCCCAGCCACCCAGCGGAGGAAGCTCATTTCGAACGCTTGTACCCACGATCTCGTTCTTTCGGTCATTACCCAAAGCTCATGACCATAGGTGAGGGAGGGAACGAAGATTGACCGGTAAATTGAGAGCTTTGCCTTTAGGCTCAGCTCCCTCTTTACCACAACGGTCCAGAACAGCGAACGCATCAGAATCAGAATCAGAATCATTTTTATGGCCACGTAAGTAACAGGAGGTCACAGACTGGGAAATTGCTTTGGCTCAGTGCAACAGTCAGAAAGAGATAATAAAAATAAGAATAAAAAACACTTCTAAAGAATAAATTTAAATTTAAAATAGAGTTACAGTTACTATTTACAATATACAAGTGCACATGGTGCACACAATGTAAGGTGACAGTAGTACAGTGAAGTAAAGTGACGTATGATGGGCAGTAAAGTGACTTTATAAAGGGCGGGGGGACAGGTTAAGAAGTGTTCAAGAGCACGCTGCACCGATCCGCCTGTCAATCTCACGCTCCATCCTTCCCTCACTCATGAACAAGACCCTGAGATACTTGAACTCCTCCACTTGAGGAAGGACCTCTCCACCCACCTGCAGAGGGCAAGGCACCTTTTTCCGGTCGAGCACCATGGCCTCAGATTTGGAGGTGCTGATTCTCATCCCAGCCGCTTCACACTCGGCTGCAAACCGTCCCAGTGCATGTTGCAGGTCCTGGTTCGTTGGAGCCAACAGGACGACATCGTCC